CAGACTTCACGCCGGAGAACCCAAGCCGTCCTCGCTGGTAGGCGTCCAACCTTGCGGCACGGCACCCCAGTCTGCACGGCGCGGGCCGCGCTCGGGACCACGCACTGCGATGAACAAGACAAGAGGCCGCAAGCGACGACTTGACAGCGCTCGCCCGCCACTGTCCTGCTTTCAGGCAAAGACTGACTGACGGACGGGACGACACGGCAGAATTTTTTTATTTTAAACACTTTTTTAAACTAATTTTAATTTTAACACTGTTTTATTTTTTTTCCAAAACTAACACTTTTGTCTGCTCTTATTTCTCTGGCGCGGCAAACGCCTGTGCCACGCCATGCATAGTGGCACGACGAGAGGGATGATGTGGCGACGACCGGAGCGCTGACCGGTGACGTGGCAGGGTCTGCCGCGCTACCGATCGGGAGCGCAGCACTGACGCGCCCTGATCGGTGGCGTAGCAGAGCCGGCTAAAGGCCCGCGGCCCAGTCCCGCCGCGCCACACCCTGCCCATCGCACGCATGCCCGCGCCTGCCCGCCTGCCTGCCCGCCGCGCGTGCCCGCCGCCGAGCACACTTCTTGACTGAAACCGACACAGAGGTGCCCTTGCCTCCTTTGAGGCCCTGCACGCACATCAGGGCGCACTAGTGGAACGAGCGTTACGTGCCATACATATGGCGTGCCGGCTTCCTTGAGCTTGTTCGTGTTGTCAGCTACGGTCTTTCATCCCTTGACCCAGCACTACTTACTGTACTGTAGACAGATGCGAGTGCCTTCATTGTACGTAAATATTCTTATAACAAATTTAAGGTAACTAACAGTCGTTCTATTCTTATAACAGATGGAGGCTTGAGACCCACACGTTCCACCTACCTTGCGGCGAGATGACCTTGACCATGCAGGACGTGAAGGCTATCTTTGTCCTTCGGTTGGGGGGCTTCCAGTGACACGTATATTTGACAACGATCACTGGAGAGAGCTGGTGGCTTAGTTCACTGGCTTTCTTCCACCGGACGACGAGGTTTTCAAGAAAAATAAGTGAGCAATTCAAGCCTATTTTATACTTGCATTGCTTTCCTGCAGCCATCGGGTCTCATTTTCTTCGGTGAATTTCAGGAAAAGTTCTGGTGTTTCGTCGTCGTGGATCACAGAGCACTTTGATTACTTAGACCCACAGGCTGATGTGGCTCAGATCGACAGGTTCACTAAAATGTGGCTCTGGCACTTCCTTGATGCTTTTCTATTCCCAGATGCCTCAGGCAACACCATCAGCTGTATCTTTCTTGACATACTACGCCAGCCGTGGAATAACATAGTGGCGTACAGCTGGGGCAGCGCAGTCCTGGCATGGACGTATCGATAGCTGTGTGTTGTCTGCCGTCGCACCTCAGGGTATGTGAACCTTGGGAGTTGCTCCTACCTACTCCAGGTTTGGTGTTGGGAACGATGGTCCATTTGGGAGGCCCCTTGTTACTGATTTCCCTGTAAGTACTTCGGTTCACTATATTCTTCGAGGCAGTTACATATGATGAAATTATTAATGATTAATTCATTATCATGTTCAATGTAGCATTGGAACGGGAATGATACACTATCTATAGCTCTGTATATCTAGAAGCAAGCAGAGTTAGTTAGAGGGAATGCGAGGCGCAAGTACAAGAAGTACACGGACTGTCTCGACGTTCTGACACAGCACCAAGTTACGCTCTCTTTACTATCATACATGTGTCTTCTTCGATACACACTATATCACAACATAACTCAATTATGAAATATTCAGGTGTATTGGTGTCCTTGGGATACTCCGGAGCTCCAGAACTATTTGAGTCCTACCACTAGGGATGAGTCAGATGAGTATCGCTATAACGTCCCTCTTATTTCCTTCCACGTAGTCGAGATTCACTTGCCCATCAGGGTTTGCAGGCAGTTTGGAAGAATGACAGGCTACCCACCACCGCTTTACTCCACCAACCAAGAATTGCACGGGTGCGTTATCGATTAATAACAAAGCTACAATTTAGAGGTGAGTATGGTACAACTAACAATTATTTTGTTGCAGATATGACCGCAGGAAGAGGTACAAGACCAAGAATTAGCGTGTGACACACAACGCGTATATCCAGTTGTGGCAAACCAGGGACCGGCAGCCGGTCGATGCGGGTCCCCCACACGACCAGCACACGTTCGACGAGTACCTACGGTGGCTTCACAGGTCTATGAGAACACATATCAAGCCTCCGTACACTAAGGAGGAGATTGACGAGGACGACAAGGAAGATGTGATCGAAGTTGCGTACAATTTGTGTACGACGTTGCCACTAGGGACGACACACAACTATAGAGATATGTGGTAAGATACTCGAATGGTATAATTTGTTATCCATTTGGTATTAAGTATATGTACTAAAACTGTCCAACCACATTTCTGTACCCAGGCGACACAATTGTCAAGGCTGTCCAACGAAGCGGCGTTTTGGCTTTACGAGTCTAGAGGGCAGGGGACAGGCGTTCTCGAGGTTTTTGTGGAGGTAAACATAAACTTGTCTGTTCCGAAAATATTTCTTTAGTGTATATGCGCTTGGAAAATGCACTAACTTTAACGTCTATTCATGCAGAAGGTGAAGCAGAGCTGCCGGAAGCTAGCTCAGATGTTGAGCTGCTTGGACACTCCTTAGGTGGAACCCGATTACCAAGCGTGGTCGGGTGCCACGTCTTCTGGCTCTTTGAGAACAACAGCCGGTTCTTCTCAGCCGATGACAGGTGCCGCTTCCGCTGTGCGAACCACCACATTATAGCGCTGGGAAGGACCCTGCAAACGAGGATGACGAGGACGGCGACGGCGACGACGACCCCCTGGGCTTCTGCATACAGCACCACCAGTGGGACCTCTGGCATCTGGACAAGATCGGCATGTCTCAGCTAGGTGGTGTCCCGCTTGGTACCCAAAAAGCCTCACAAGTAGTAACAAAGATAGTGTCTTTAAATACGTAGGCTCCATGAACTAACGATCATAAAGATTATAAGTAACCGTGCATATCATATATTTGCAGGGTACGAGCCGTAACCACCGGCAACGCAACCACACCGACGTTGGCTACACTCCCAATGTGTTGCCTATAAATCCAAAAAGACAGAGACGTCTGAGGGATCCTTACAATCTTGAGACTTAGTTGGTTATGTCGAACTTATGTCGAACGAATATTGTCGTCGTAAACTTGCAGACTCATGAACCAATAAAAATGTTATGTGACAACTTGTCAACTTGTGCACGGACTTCATTTATTTGCTTCATATTCGTTTCAATGCGTCGCGGCAGCACTTGTAGATGTTTACAGCACCGACAACAGCTCCCGTTCAATTGCAATTGGGTCGGCTTCTGTCTGCGTCCAGGTCCTGCCGCACCGTGGGTCTTGGCGCATCAGTGCCGCGCCGTGGGCTATGGCGCGACAGACCCTGCCACGTTACCGGTCAGCGTCCCGGTCGTCGCCACATCATCCCTCTGGCCACGCCACCATGCATAGCGCGGCACAGCCGTTTCGCCGCATCAGAGAAATAGGCACGGGCAAAAGTGTTTGTTTTAGAAAAAACAGTGTTAGATTTAAAATTAGTTTAAAAAATGTTTAAAAAAATCACATGGCAAGCATTATCAAAAGTTCAGAACCTTCCTTCACATTCACTTCGAGCTGATCACACACAGCACTGTTCAATGATTCAATCGCCTTTGCAGTTACACTGCTAGCTTTGCTCGTGGATTACTACGTACTTCTATAATTTATATTTTTATTAGTATTCAAACGCCACGTAAAACACCATATGTGATATTTGATGTTACAATTACTAAACTTGTCCCTGCATCAAACAACCCTGAATGTCTGAACGAATTATATTAAGCTGCAGATCGAGATCAAAAGTTTCGCAAAATCGCAAGGGTGAGTCGTGGTCTCGCTGCTTGCGCGACTCGCCCGACGCCGCTCGCTGCTCCGCACTCGTCGCCTCTGGCCTCCGCTCCGCCCTCCAGGCTCGCTGTCGCCGCTTGCCGCCTCACTGCCTCCAGCCGCCGGCAGATCCGGGCATCCGGCGACGCGATCCCGCCCCAGCCGGCCGGCCGCTGCCGCTCGGCCTCGGCGCCGCCACTCCGCCAGGTAGCAAGAAGCAGGTAACGAGCCCCAGCCGGCCCTGCTTGGCTGAGCCTGTTTGGCTGCTTCAGAGTTCAGACTTCAGTGCTTTACTGCTTTCGGAAAGCACTGATGTCGAAGGTATTACTATTACGGTATTTAATCCGGATGTTCATGTTGTTTCTGATCCGGGCGTTCGTGTAGCAATTGAGCAATTCTATCCTGACATTAGAGATGATGTTAGGAGGGCTCATGGGGTGTTTGGTTCCACCCCTAAACTTTTGTCGCAAAGTAAAAAGATGTTAAGCACCATGTCCGGGGCTGTCTTACTCTCAATGGGTCCAGTTTTTTTTTTTAAAGGCTAGTGTTGTATTCCTCCATTTTTATGACTGTTACAAACATCATATTAATTGGGGAGCCAAATGGTCACTCCATACTACAAGATCTCTCTAGTCTAGCTACTACATTCCTGTCATGTTTGAGGGCACAATAGTCTAGATCTGCTAATCCCATGGTTTTCTCTTGCTCCGCACCTCGTGACTCTAGTCTGGTGCGCAGCATGAATCTTTGGGTCTCCTAAAGGTTTAATTTTTTATACAGACGGTGTCTGTATATAGCCACATGTTGTCTTTAAAATTCTTTTTAGTAGTGTTATTAAAAAAAGAAATTCAGTGTTTTTTTTTAGCAAGTCGGCAGTAAGGAAGACTCCTAGCCGGCATGTCGGCAGGGTCTCCTAGCCGTTTATTTTTTTGTTTCCACATATATACGTGTGAATAAGTTTTGACCTTGACCAGGGCATATGCAGCTTGCAAGGAAGTCCAAAATTGCAGCTGGTGGCAAAGCTCGGAGTGACGGACGGGCAAGCATTATGTGGACTTCATTTTTGCCATGGTCTCATTCCGCCATGCACTTGCACTACTGCTAGGTTCACACACACACACAAAAAAAAAAAAACTGAGCGAGATCAAGTTTGGCGAGGGTGAGAGCTTAGACTATCATGATAACCTTGCCAATGATGCTTTGTGCGGCACTATTATTCTCTCTGGTGATTGTTTGGTCTCCAGTAGAGACGTCGTCGACCACCGTGCTAGCAGCCTCCGGAAGCATCATGGCCGGAGGAAACAGGACGTCGTTGGACGGCTGCCCGACGAGCTGCGGCAATCTGACCTTCGCCTACCCATTCGGCGTCGGAGCGGATTGCTCCCGGGGGCCCGATTTCAGCTTGATCTGCGACGACGACGCCAGTCGGTCCCGAAGCTCTTCTTGCGAGATGGCATCACTGAGGTGGTCGAGAGCATCGAAGTTAACATCGCCGGCTGGTATCAGGACTTTGTCTTGGTCTCCATCTGGCGTGCCATCCCCATGAACTCCGGTGTACGCGTTTACAACATGTCCCTGGAAACCCCTGGGAGGTCCTTCTCATTTGACACCTCTGCAACATTCAGTGTGACAGGCTGCGACCTGGATGTGTACTGGATCGACCAGATGACCAGCAGGCCTGTGTTTGGTTGCTCAACTTGGTGCCCCGGCAGCGAAGAAATAATCACGGAGGTGGCGGCTAGCTACAACTGCAGCGGCATGGGATGCTGCTCTGTTTTGGTGCAGCGGCATGGGATTCAGCTCAGTTTCGTCCACCGGAAAAGCAGCAGCATCGGCGCCTCCAGATCTTCTAACCGGACCTCTCTATTGCGGGATAGAATCACCGTTGTTACCAGTAATTCCACCCTGCTCTTTTGGAACATCGTCGACCAACCCAACTGTGCTTCCGCCGAGAAGAACCGGACAGAGTATGCTTGTATATCAGCAACCAGTCATTGCAACGACGACGCAACATTTGGCTACACCTGCGAATGCGAACAAGGCTTCACAGGCAACGCCTACATTATTGACGGTTGCACCGACGAAATTATTGGTACCATTTTTTTTTTGAAATGATATTGGTACCATTTCATATCTACTCTCCCTGCTGCTTCTAACATAATTGTTGTAGCCTCAACCATGCTTAGCAAATATCTAGGCCTCCATGTTCATTCTCACCGGATGCACTGAGAAAAAAAATCTTAGAAATTATCACAGTAATCAGAAACATTAGACATTTTATTTGTATATTCTAATCACCATTATCAATAATAACCATTGGATCTTTTCTGTTTTATAAAAGATTCCCACCACTACCATTATGAAAAAAAAAATCCATAAAGTAACCCCTAAATTTTTATTCAAATTACCCACCATTGTCATTATAAAAGATAACTCACAATAACCCCCCTAATTTGAATCTAAATTGTCCACCTATGCCATTATGTAAGATATTTCTAATAAGTCCATAAATTTGTATCTAAATTAACCACATCTATCATTATGAAAAAATAATTTAAAGTAACCTTCAAATACTTTTTTTTATAAATTACACACTCCCGCTGATATGAAAGATAATGCAGAAATAACCCCTAAGTTTGCATTTAAGTTATCCGCATATGCTATTATAAAAGATAATATAGAAAGTAATATCTTTTAATTTGTATCTAAATTATCCACCTTAACTGTGTTAGATCTTTCAAATCTATATATAAATACTATTATAAGCTATTATGAAAACTAATTCAATATTCATAAATTCTACTATGTATATTTCTAAATTACACATTTTTATCACTATTAAGTTAGAAGTAAGCATAACTCTATGCACAATGTAGGACAAATAAGCATGTATATCTTAGGATAAATATTTATTGTAATTGCTTATCAAGTGTGGAAAAATGTTCTCTTAACTAACCACATAGCGATGCCACTGCCGATTCACTTTAAGTTATATTGATACTCCATGATAATGAATTTTGTAAGTTATTATTTTAAATAAGTTTATACATTTGGACTGAAATATTATGTCATATCAATATGGCAACTATTTCATTTTAATCCCTCTATGTTTTATAAAAAAATACTACTACATATAATTCTTTGATATGGATCATGGTGCATAGCATTATGCTTACTTCTAACTAATATTTCTCATGAGATATAATTTAATAAGCTCTCTATGTTACTGGTATGTTGGGTGACGGTCTGAATTCAAAGAAGATAGAAGAAGAATTGGGGCCCGATGAGAGATAAGAAGAGAGAGAGAACCAAAGCAAGGGATAACAGTCAAGTACACATTTCATTCATGCCATGGCTATCGAAAAAGCATCTTGAGTGCCACGGTGCAAACTAAAAAGACTATTTATGTCATTTTAAGAACTCAAAGGGAAGCCTAGACCTATAATTTTTTTTAAATAAAACTGAAGATAAAATGTTTGAATAAAAGATATAATTAACACAGAGGTTTTAACTTAGCTTGTCGATTAAAAAATGCTATAAGTAGATTAAAATTTGAAAGCTAAAAATATAGATTCATGATGTAACAGAAAAGAATACAACAAGGACTTATATATATAACTTAGTCCTAGTTTCAACTAAATACGTATCACGCTATATTAAAGAATATAAATCGTAGAAATCCTAACTAGAGGTCCCCAATGGAGCCTTCCTATTATCTCATGATACTCGCTATGAGAAAAAAGATAAAAGTCAAAATTTCTCACAAAAACCATAAACATTTGGCTATCAATTCAGTAGACTCCAATGACCCATCTCTGCTATTGTGTAAAACAACCTAAAGTAACCTATCTATATTTAAATTACCCACCCAAGCCACCGAGAAATATGATCTAAAGTAAATCTGAATTTGTATCTAATTACTCGCATGCTATTATAATATGTAATCTATATGTATATCCTTAAATTTGCATGTAAATTACCACTTCTATCATTACTACAATATCCTCTCAAATCTACATCTAATTGCCAACATTTTCTATTACAAAAAAAAAGATGTTTAAATAATCATAAAGCATATAATGTTTCCACATTACCCACTTTCATCAATATTAATATATTAGCATTTGATTAAATGAAAAATACATATCGTGAAATCATTCAAATCAACTACATATGCTTGCAGAGTATCTATTACGCTTTATTGTGTTAGAAAATGAATAAAGAGAAAAAAAGTATAGTTTAATCTAAGTATTTTTTTATTAGTCAGAGATATTAAACAATAACTAATGCATATGTCTCTTAGGATTAGCCTGCAAGAGTCGATGGATTAGTACACAAAATTTTAAAGTTCACTTAATCAGTAATTTTAAGTGTAGAAATGTGTATTTTACTCATATTGTTGGTATTTCTTAGATATATACAATTGTAATGTCACTTTATATTTTGGCAACTGATTGAGTGAAACAAATGTTTTACTTATTTATTTGTTTATTACCATGAAAAGTGTAGCATACAAAATGACAAGTCGATTTATGCACAGTTACCTTTTTCATTTGGAACTTGAATGCATGGTTAACATGTTTCTTACTGAAACTAGGGTATAATCCAAAAGGAAACAGAGCTAACTGTACCCGTCACTGTGGAAACATGGATGTTCCATTCCCATTTGGCTTAGAAGATGGCTGCTTCGCTAGGAAAATTTTTGGCCTCTTCTGCACAAATGCGACATCATCAGCTGCTCTCCAGTTGGGACCTTCTGGGGATGTGATCAGTCTCCAAGTTAACGAAGGGATACTTACCTACACTGAAGAAATAATGAAATCGACCGGTTATGGTTTGACAAGCAGCTCTATGCAATGGGTTGTTGCTAATCTAAGCTGTGCTAAAGCTAAACAGAATACATCTGGGTATGCTTGTGTGAGTATCAACAGCAGGTGTGTGGAAGTGAACACATCTGACGGCTATTATTTTGGATACCGCTGCAAATGCACAGATGGCTTCCAAGGGAATCCGTACATTCGGAGTGGTTGTCAGGGTACCCGACATCTCTCTCCTTTTATCACTCACTTTGAAACTCTCTCTGCGTTGTCACATCTTAGATCTGGTTTGCAGATATTGATGAGTGCCTTCAGCAAGACATTTGTATGGGCAGACTGTGCAGTAATATAGAAGGAAGCTTCAAGTGCATTGAATGCCCTCGAAAGACGATATATGATCAGGCAAATAACCAGTGTACTAGAACAAAGCAGCAGGTTCTGCTCATAGGTATCGTTACTGTTGTTACTAAATAACAACATTTGCTGCTCATATTTATTATTGTTATTGCTAATAGTATTCCTATTGCAAAATAAGGTAGAATATATATAAGGAGGTTATGTTCATGTCTATATAGGTATTATTATCGGACTTTCGGGAGGCTTCAGCATCCTACTCCTGGCCTTCCTTGCATTATTTCTTCTCCGTAGATGGAGAAGAAATGTTCAAAAGCAACTACGGATGACTTATTTCCAGAAGAACCAAGGTCTTCTTTTAGAACAGTTGACGTCGCCTGACAAAACAAATATTTTCTCCCTTGAATAGCTAGAAAAGGCAACAAATAACTTTGATCCCACTCGTATCATTGGACATGGTGGCCACGGGATGGTCTATAAAGGCATTTTATCAGACCAACGTGTTGTTGCAATAAAGAAGTCTCTAGTCATTGAGTACAGCGAGATCAAGCAATTCATCAATGAAGTTGCAATACTTTCTGAAATAAATCACAGAAACATCGTGAAGATCTTTGGATGTTGTCTCGAATCTGAGGTTCCATTGCTTGTATATGATTATATTTCCAATGGATCATTGACTCAAGTTCTCCATGATGAATCACGAAATGATGTTTCTTTGTCTTGGAATGATTACATAAGAATCGCCACGGAAGCAGTAGGAGCTTTATCATATCTCCACTCAACAGCTTCGATATCAGTCTTCCATCGTGATGTGAAGTCCTCTAATATACTCTTGGATGGGAACTACACAGCAAAAGTTTCAGACTTTGGCGCTTCAAGATTGGTTCCAGTTGATCAAACACACATTGTTACGAATGTACAAGGTACATTTGGTTACTTAGATCCAGAGTATTTCTATACGAGGCAACTAAATGCGAAGAGTGATGTGTATAGTTTTGGGGTGGTACTTCTAGAGCTGCTTGTTAGAAAGAAGCCTATTTTCACAAGTAACTCAGGCTTGGTTCAGAACTTGTCAAACTACTTTCTTGAGGCATTGAAAGAGAGAGAAATCACTGATATAGTTGATCCTCAAGTTGCCCAGGAAGCAACCAAGGAGGAGATCAGCAGCATCGCCTCCATTGCGGAGATGTGCTTAAGATTACGTGGTGAAGAAAGGCCTACAATGAAGCAAGTGGAGCTGGAATTACAGATTTTACGAGAGAAACAGGTGAGCACTTGGCAAAGCAGCCCGGAAAATGAGCAGCAAAATGAAACAATATTGCTAACTCGAAGAGCTAAAGCTACTTGCCAAGCATTTGCCACAGAACCAGGTCAGGGAGCCAATTTACCACTGGAACACAACCAGCGATGTTGTAGTTTAGAGGAAGAGTTCATGGAATCTGCCACCCTACCACGCTAGATGTGCTTATTGAGTATGATTGATTTAGTGCCAGTGGTTATCCATCTATAATGTATCACTCACCAGCAGGTCGCCTATAGTAACTTTATATATATAGAACCAGCGTTTCACTGGCTTTATTTGGTGTATAATAGGAGTACTTATCCGTACGTGAAGATATAGCTGTTCTTTCGCCTTAGAATAAACATTATTCAGAACTTTGAAAAACTATGAGATTGTGCCTGATAAATAGTAATCTGATTTATCATTTACCTGTTTCCGTACACATGTAAAATAAGTTATCATATAAATAGTGCACACGTATATTTTAAGTTTTTAACCAAACTAGTGTGCATTGGCTCACTAATTTATATTAGTAGAAAACACCGGAGGCATGCTTCTGTTACTACAGCACCACGCGCCACCTATAAATTGAAGTTGTTAACAAAGTCTCCATCCTGGTTATTAGGATTTCTCCCTTGTTCACCTATAAATTGAAGTTGTTAACAAAGTCTCGATCCTAGTTAGCGCCTTCTTTTCTTTTAGAATAGAGTCCGTATGTTTTATAACAATATCATCAATCGAAATGCCGATTAGTGCCCTGTGGACCATTCATCAATATAGCCAAAAAAGCATCTATACTTGCAACTTTTCCATAACAGCACTTAGTTTTGCTATTAGTTATTATTAAAATAATATTATTTTAAAAGAAAATTCCCCGCGCAGCACCATCACACCTGGTTGGCAGCACTGCAGCAGCAACCAATAATCTGTTAGGCTCGGCTCACTTGGATGTAGTAGCGTGTGGGCCGTGACGTTTGTACATTTCCAGGACGTGTGGCTTGCAGCCTCACTAGCTGTTCGTTTCCACTTTGCTAAAAAAAAGAGACTGTTCATTTCCACTATTTTTTAATTATCTTCATTCACAAAGTCTATACTTTTCCTTAAAAATAAATAATACCATATATTTTATTCTCTTTCCGTTCTAAATTAAGGCCATTTTAGCTTTTTAAATTATAATAAAATACTTCCTCGGATTTTATTTGCTTATCATATTAGCTTTATCCTAAATCAAATATTTATACTTTTGACTATCGATTTTAAAAAATAATATATATGTTTATGACATAAGATTTAAATTTTAGATTCATTATGAGAAATACTTTATAATATATTGTAACACCCTAAAATTAGCACTCTTTTAAAAATAGCTAAATTGATTTATTTATGCAAATATGTGTGCATTAAAATATAGAAAAATAATAAATTTTGTGGAATTAAAATCAAATATAAGATTAGCTACAAGTGATGCATACATGTTGCTGCATATTTATTTTTGTGATGAATGGTTTTGATTCAAAGTCCAAATGAATTCAAAATCTAATTGAAAATGAATTTGGAAAATTGTTGGAAAAAGGAAAATAATTTTTTTCTCTCCTCCCTCCTTGATTCTCGGCCCGCTCCCTCGCGCAAATTTCACCTCCCTCTCCTCCCCTTCTCCTCATTTCTGCCGAGGCCTAGGCCCGAGCAAATAGGCCAAATGGCCACTCGGCCTCCTGGCGCTTCACAGCCCTGAAGAATCACTGCTGCCCAGCTCACTGCCGCCAACCATGAACTGCAGCTACTGCTCGCCAAGAATCACATGGCCCACCCGACACCCACCCCACCACAACTCCCCACCTTCCTCCATAATCAGCCAGGCGGTCAAGCCAAGAACAGCAGCAGCCACCCACGCGTCGTGGGGCGCCCCCCTCCCGCTCCTCGGCCTTGATAAATAGGGCCGAGCCCCCCCCCTCAAGCCTCCCTGCGCCTCCTCTCTCCTCGTTTCGCCCTCGCTCACGCCTCGGAGGCCGCAATGACGCCGGGCGAAGCACTCAAGACCGCCGTCGTCCGTCCGCCGTGACCCGCCTTCCCGAGCTGCCTCCGACCCCGAAGTTCCTCATTGTGAGCCTCCCCAAGCTCCCTATCTCTCCCCATGCGGTTTATTTCATTTTTTGGCTTCTAGATGCCTCGCCATGAAGCTCCGCAAGCCTTGGCCACCGCCATGGCGGCCATCAACTTCTTACCATTGCTTTCCGCCGCCAGACGTATCGGCATGGCCAGACCCCCTTCTTCCCTCAGCGCCATCGGTGCCCTCGGTTGTCCATTTGGTGAGCCAGACCCCTAACCACAGCTCTCCGGCGAGTCCACACGGCCATATGGCGCTGGCACGCAGGTATTCTTTGTTCGGCCGCCACCTTGTTCTCTCTCCCCCGGATCTATTTCTGGCCGTTCATTTCAAATCCGACGGCCCACGTAGACCGATACCCCTTCGCGGGTGGTTTTGCTAAAGAGCCCTCCTGTTTTCGCGTAATAGAACCCGCAGTCCAAAGCGTATTCCCCCTATTACGCATTCTTGTTTTGAAAGCGTAAAGTTTATCGGCTTAAGTCAAAAGTACGCTTTCAGTATTTACAGAAATGCCATTTGAACTGTTTCGCTTATAAAATTGTCGTTTTAGCTCCGAATTGATCCATTCAAATCGCGTTAGCTTCGTAATGTCATAAGCTACATGTTAGAACTACTGTTAGTCAAGTTTGGAACTTTTTAATTTCATGATTAGATTTAATTAAATATATGGCTATAGGAAAACCCGTTTAAATCATAACTTTCGCATTTTAGCTCTGTTTTTCGTGAACTTCGCGTTGACGTGATCGTAGCGAGACGTAGAATATGTTTACAAATATTTTATCTTGTTTTCAATACTGTTGGTGTACTGTTCTAATGATAGGAATGTTTGCTTTGCATGAATGCTTTTGGAATGTTGTATGTTGCCGTGTTGGTCGCGTTAGAGACGGTGAGGGAAAACGTTGGAGACCAAGAACTCTTCGACGACCAGCAGGACCAAAGACGAGTTTGTGAACCAAGGCAAGTATAACATGGGCCTTCCTTGATGTCCTAATTCACTTTAATCAATTACTCATTTGCATGTGTCTAATTTTGATACCCGTAAGGACATCCTAGTGATTGTTTATCCTGTTCCTTGTCTCCTATGGGTTAAATGCATATGGGTAGATTGCTAGTGCTCTAACCGAACTTGATATACCTGTTGATGAATGATACTATGGAACAAAGTGAGTAACATGATTTATAACAACTGCTCCATAGGGCGAAAAGTGCAAATGACCTTTGTTCATGTTGCTCCCGGCCCTCCATAAGGACTTATCTGTCGGCAAAAGCTGGGACTGACAGTGCAACCGGGAGAGTCATATGGCTCTGAATTTAGCTCAGTAATAGGACCTTTTCTAGCTAGTTAGAGGTTACCTTTTGGCGTAAATGGGGCTTGCCACGTTGGGTATAGGGCTGCCTCTGTTCCTATGTGTGTATAGCCGCTGATGGATATGTGCCATAGGAAAGGGGGTTCCTACATCACACCGCCAAGGAAACCTAGCGGCCCTAACTTGTTAGGGAAACCTATGAAATGGCTTCATAGTGTACCCTGCCTGGCCACCTTGGAAGTGACATGGGAGTAATTAACCTGGGCATATGGGGATCACGACTCATGGTGAATGTGCACCACCTCTCGCAGAGGGTAACAAATCATATATAACAAAACCGTGCTCACGCACGATTCATGAGCGGCCCGAAAACTCACAGAATAGGTGGCTACTTATAATGTTGTTTACACGAGATGATTATGATGATATTATGATGATGTTACATGACTTAATTGGATCGGATATATGATCATGTGGGTTTAAATGGGAGCTTAAGCATAACTTAATAATAGATGAGGATAAAATCTTGAATCTACTAAAAGTGCTAACTGCAGTAAACCAGTGTCATCCTTTTTGAGCCTCATGAACCTCATGTTATCTTGTTGAGTACGGGACGTACTTACGCTTGTTTAATTTTCAATATTTGGATAAAAATCCCGGATGGGTAACAGATGCCAATGGATATGAGGAGTTTCCTAAAGATTATTAGGCTTGTGGTCAACCAGTTGACCTTCCCTGTGATGGAGTTCCACGAGAGTGTCATCTTTTTAATCTTCCACTGTGTTGTGTAAGTCTATGTGATGTTATAATTCGTGATGTATGAGACACCGTGATGATACTTTATATAATTTGTCAACTTGTGTGTGAGACTGATCCCTGGGCACACATGAGTTTAGTGCATTCAATTTTGTCCTTAAAATTGGGTGTGACAAATTGGTATCAGAGCAGTGTTGATTGTAGGACGCAAGCCTAGTAGAAACTGGTCGTTTTAAGGTTTACAAGTTGCTGCAAAAACCCTTGCTCTATGAACCTTGATATTTTCTTCTCTACTATATCTCTATCTTTGCTATTCGTCTCTACCTTGGTGCTTATTTTAAAGACTTTGTTCTCATCTTCACTTCTTGGTTTGTTATGCTTTTAGAACTACTCCTCACCACCTTCTTACGTTTTCTGAATATAAGTCTTAGGATTGTTATCCCTGGAGCAATGAGAACGATAGTATCGCAAGATGAGTTAATGATTGAATTGTGCATCTTTATTGTTTGTTGAGTTGTCATTATGCTTATGGTCGTTTTGAATCTTTGTAATGATTGCAATGATCTTGTTGAGTGTTCCCACAATTTCAGATAGTAATAGGCCTAAGGCATAAGGATTAATGAAATAAATAGTCGGGTCTTGGTTTTCGTCTGTTTTTTCTATCCTATCTTTTCGGAGTAGTCTGCACTCTTCGGCTTATATCTCTGATTTTGGATGATCAAAAATCGTGGGCAAATTCTGGACACTAGTACACTTCAATATCTTTCTCTGAGCGCAAGAATCAACTTGATAGCTATGTTGGTTATGGAGATACGAGAATCACAAGGTGATGCATCTGGGATGTTTGGAATCTGGAGTAGTTTGTGTTGTGTACTGTTTTCGACCAAGTTAACTGCAAGAATTTGGAAAAGTGTTCTATAAAGAAGTAGATGTAAGCTATACTTTGGTATCCCCTAGTCTATCTTTTCTTAAGGGGGGTAGCCAAGTTGAAGAATTTACAAGATGAAGTA